TTGACAATACGGTTCCACCCAAGTGGAGCAAAGAACAACAATGGAAGCAATGGGTCAAGCTGCTCCGTGACCACCTCCGCGCATATATCGGTGTCAATGGCATCCCTCTTGTTTATGTGGTCCGCGAAAATGCAGCTCAAGACCCAACACCACAAGACGATTTTCTTGACGAATGCATCAATATGGCTCTACTTGTTGGAACCGCCTTTATTGTGGATAACAAACAAGTGCTGGCTCTACTGAACAAATTTATCATGGGTTGTTCTGAAGCTGAAATGGTGATACAAGCGCTCAATACTACTACTGATGGTAGAGCTGCTTTCTTTGCATTGAAAACATTTTATGAAGGTGAAGGCATTTTCGCTCATGATGTCATGGCGGCGGAAAACATCATTGCAACACTTTTCTATGCAGGAGAAAAACGTCCAGCTATGTACTGGCAGAAATTTGAACAAATATTAAATAATGCCTATGCAACCATGCATCACGAATATGGCTGTGTAATGTATACTGACGTTATGAAACTACGATCCCTCCAACAAAGAATCAAAGCTGACTTCCTGTCACAGACAAAAGCGGCAATTGAAGCTAACATGCATGCTATTCCTATGACTATGACATATGATCAGGCCATGCGAATGTACCGTTCCAAGGTGTCAGAAAAATTCCCCCCAGCTTCCGTAGCTGCCGTTGCTCGGGGGCGACACGTCAGAGAGAACAATCGAAACACACGTGGGGGAGGACGTGGCGGCGGACGTGGACGAGGGGGTTGCAACCACCGCAACAATTCCCGTGATAACCGCCGTTACAATGGAAATCGTCAACAACATCCGGAGGAATGCAATATCACTTTGAGTGATGGGAAAGTCATCAAGTACCATCCGAGTTACAACTTTTCTCCTGAACACTTGGACCTGATGACACAAGACCAACGCAACACAATGACGGCCGAAAGGACAGCTTATCGCAATCGAAACAAAAATAACCAAGACAATGCTAGTACCAACGAAAATACAAGAAATATAGCCGCACTGACTTCTCTGATTGGCGATTTGACCAACCGTTTGACTGTACCAACCAAAATCACACAAGATACTGCTGCTACTCAAATCTCCCAAGTCACTACTGGCACCAACGGGCGATCCATCATTGGAGGACGTCTACAACAAGCCCAACAGCAACAAAATGGAGGAAGTGGGAGTAATATCTGACTACTACCTGTCAGCCGCAGCATCAGCCAAGTTTCGCGAATCGTTTGTGTCATCTCCGAATACTCAGCAACGCAAAGACTTGGTGTCCAAGAACCTGTGGCTGGCACTTACGCCGACAATGAAATGGACACAAATGCTGACACTTGTTGCTTGGGTAACAATTTCATTATTACTGCTTACACACAACGCTCGGCCGATGTATACGCCTATGATTCCAGTCTACCGCCAACTCATGTTCCAATTGTTTCAGGGGCGACAGCATATGATTGTCCAGAAACTGGTTCTACTTTTATTTTGATCATAAACGAAGCGCTCTACTATGGAAACAAGTTGGACCACTCCTTGTTCAACCCAAATCAGATTCGAAGTTACGGTACTCCCCTTTGGGACAACCCATATGATGATATGCATGAAATTGGGATTGAGGCTACGGACTTGTTCATACCACTACTATCAAGGGGCACCAAGCTACTCTTTGGCACACGTGCTCCCACTAAGCAGGAACTTGAAACGTGCCACCATATTGAGCTCACAAGTAAAGTGCCATGGGAACCGTCCACTGTGCAACTTGGGAAACTCTCAACGCGACGAAATACTCCTTTTGAAGATCCACGATCAAATGAATCTGAAATGCGCAGTTTAGATCCTGTGCAACACAACTTACAACAATGGCGTGTTGTACAACAAATCAATGCAACTGCTGATAGGTTTCAAGATGTTCCAGTCCGGCCATCATTTGTATCAACTGAACGCCACTCCAAGGTCACCGCGGAGAATCTTTCTGAACGCTTGGGAATCAGCATTGGTAGAGCCAGGGCTACATTAAACGCAACACTGCAACGTGGAACCAGATCCGCTATTATGCCACTTGCAAGGAGATATCAAGCCGATCGGATGTTTGAACGCCCACGATTGAAGGGAAAATTTTCTACTGATACTGCCTACTTCAAACGAACTTCTCTTCGAGGTAACATTGCCAGCCAGGTATACTTTCACAAATGTGGGTTTTACAGTTGTCACCACTTGCAGAAAGTTAATGATGCACAAGTTGGGCCAACCTTGAACAAGTTTATTTCCAAATATGGTATACCGGAGCACCTTACGATGGATGGTGCACCTGTCCAGATTGGACGGAAGACTACATTTATGGATACAATTAGCCCTTTCTGTTTCTCATGTGTCATAGGGAATGGAAGACCCTGAACATTTTGAAAAAGGACCCGGGTAACGCGAGGAGACTTCTGGCGTTAGTCATCGCCAAAGTAGTTACCGGGAGGGAGAGAGTTTAAATAAGCATCCAGTGAAGAGTGGGCCACCTGGCTGGATGTGTGTTGGTTGCGTAGATTTCGACCTCAAACGCCGCAACCTTGCGTGACGGGACCGTTGGTGGTTAGGGACCCCCGCCGGGGGGCCACCCCCACTGTCAGCCGATGATGTTGCCTTGCTGGAGGAGGGGCTTGACGAAAGGTGCTTGCCTGTGACCGATGCTTGTTCCGCCATTTTGGCCTCCAATTCAAGGATACGAGCATCCTTGGCAGCCTCCGGATTGTTGGGATATGACGAAATATGAGTTTTTACGTTCCAAAAGAAACTATTCAAGTACGAGGTTTTCGACACGTGCGATCGGACTTTGATCGTGCCTAATGTTGGGATTCGACTTCTACAACAATTCTGTGTTGAATGCAGTACTTTGGGACATCTTGAATTATTCCCTACTGCATCGTACACAACATCAATATTCCACTTGTACAGGATCTTTTCCTGTTTGTGTGGATACAGATTGTCCGACAGACTTGCGTCCGGCATACTTGCGTCGAATCCCGACATCTTGCACGATCAAATTCCGATCGCACGTGTCGAAAACCTCGTACTTGAATAGTTTCATTTTGGAACGTAAAAACTCATATTTCGTCATATCCCAACATGATAGGTCCAAATCCACGCTAAACATTCACGCTAAACAAGGTCACAGCACCGCACCGTTGCCGGAGTTCGGTAGGTGGGTTTTGTACCGGCCTTTCTGGATTGCATAACATCCAGTAAAGTTTTGGGAAATTTGAGTTTTCGTGCAAGGCTTTTGCTTTGCCCATTCCATGTAGATAACAAGTCTTTTAGAATAGTTATTT